AATTAATGCAAAAAGTGTAGCAACTTAATTTCATTTTTTGATTTATTATACAATTTTATATATACAACATACACATATGGATCAAACAACAGATGTTAATTTAAAATGAACAAAAATATCGTTTAATTCGCTCTCTAATTTTCTAATACTCTGTACAGTTTCTAAATCAATAAAGTTTCTCTTTCGCGATATTTCCAACATGCACCGTGACGAAACAATACTGTCACAATCTTTCAACTTTCTGTTGCTTGAAAGTTCTATGACGAGGAAGATACTCGGTCATGCTAATAATACTCTAACAAAATCGCTTTGATGAAGATTATGCAAATAGTGAACGGAAATGTTTATAAATCAACATGTCCGTATGATCTGGTTGTATGATTTTTTTATAGATGTAATATTCTTACCCGGAAGACCAGCTCCTCTACTTGAACCGTTAATCTTCAATGCGGACAGACCCTTCTACTGCATCATTAAACACAACGTAGCTCCGATTTTTGTCGAATTCGTCTTTGAACCTTCAGCGAGTTTTTAATATTTCCCGTAATCGATTGTACTGTAATACAATATAATTCAACATGATAACAAATACAGCACAGCTTAATATAATAATTCAATACAACTCTTTTAGATTTTCGCGTTGTATCGAGAAAAAGAGAAAAAAATTTTCATTTATACAAATTGACGCTCATCTTGGAGATGAAAAATTACATAACATGAATAACTTATGTGATCAGCTTCACATAACAGATAACAGCGTTGGGAGTGAATAATTTCTTTTTTTAATTTCATTTAAGCATAGATTCATTTCGCCTGCACTAAATCAATCATTGATTTTTTTCTGTCTATGTGTTTTTTTATTATATTGCTAAATCTTTAATTTTTTTTAGAATTTACTAATAAAATATTAAGCACTTGAAATATATCATAATTTTTTAATCTCATTCTAATGTTTTTCGTTACATCATCTATACGATGGTTTACGTTCGCTTTTAGTATTACATAAGGTGCTTTTTTAAAATTAATATCTAAAAAGATAGATAGTCTTTTTAATATTATATTCAATCTCGATAAAATAGAATGAGTGTATTTATTAAAATTACTTTTCAATACATTTCAATACTTTTCAAATCATAGATTTTATGAATGAATTTTTCTTTTAATTTAAGAGATAATTATATTTTTATTTTAATTGTATTTTTTATTTAATTTTTTGGATTTAATTTGCTCACTGTTATGCTTGTGATGTCTGTATATTGAACAATAATTGTATATAAATACCAAAAAAGAATTGTTTTGGGCATCTACACTACTAGATTTCTACACGAAATTGACACAAAATGTAGTTGCTTTTTTTTTTTTCTTAAAAAAATATCAATAGAATATTATTAGATTTGAATCCAGAATTATCACGATGCACAGTAATGTACACTGTAAGTTAGGCATCACATTTTTCGTCACAATATAATAATAATAATTTAATAGGACGCATAATGTCTTTGCTGTGCGGTCACGAATCGCTTCTACGAAGCGAATAAGGATTAATCATTATAACATCGCAGTTCGCACGAACAATCCAATAATCTGTTCCAGGATTGGAGTTCGAAATGCGATGTCTGATGTTGCAGATCGACGTGGAAATTGATCATCCATTTATTTTTAATATTATCAAGATTCTTCAGGATCAGGAGAGCGGAAATGGTGACGCTGTGTCGCTGTTCACCGGGATAGTTACTGTACCGATTTACTAGCCAGTTGCAGTAAATGAAATGTCGTGCATATTAATATGCTTATGATCGTTTACATCTTGAGAAAGTAACATTTTACGTTAAATCATAAGTAACATTTTTAGTGTTTTTTGCTAAAATCAATTAATTACAGCTGTCAATTAATATTTGTTGTTTGCCTAATATTATTGATTGTTGATTCTTAAATCTTTGAATTTAATTTAATTTAATTACAAATGATTCAAGAGAATTTGTGAATGTAGAATTATTTTTAGTAATATCTGAAATAATCTTCACAATTTCTCACTTTTTAATGTTGACATATGATTTGTTATTTTGAATAGTAATGTTGTTTGAATAATATGTAATAAAAGTTCTGTTAATTATTAATAATGTTATTAATATTTATATACTA